CCCAAACACACACTGAAGTGTGTAGGGCACGTCCCCTCACGGCGGGCCGGGGGACGAGAGAGGCTAGCTGACACGTGTCATGCATTCAGGGACTGAACCCACGCTGTCGTGTGTGTGTGTGTGTGTGTGTGTGTTCGAAAAGCCAGAGAGAGTGTGAGTTCATTTAGCTGTGTTTCTGAGTGTCCTCAGAAGTGAGCAAACCCTCCCTTTGGGGATCTCTTCAAACATTAAAATAGTTCCTAAAGTAAATCATGTTTTTAGAGTTTTGATTCTGCTTAAGCATTCTTAGCTAATTGTCAAATTCAAAAAATAAATAGAAAAAATCTCATTAATATAATGTGAAAATATGCCGACTGATATATTTATCTAAAATGGAAATATATATATTTATTTCATTGAAAATCGTAAGAATTATCTTTAATATATTATTAACTTCTAAAAATATAATAGTGAAATATATCTAAGCTGGCTTCCAACATGGAATATATTTATTTAAAAAAATTTTAGCTCACAATTCTAGTCTTTTTTTTTTTTTTTTCAGTTTTGACGCCATATCTCACAAATACCTCTTAAAGTGAATCATTTTATATAGCCTATTTATAGAATTTGTATTCTGTTTAAGTTTTATTATTATTATTATCATAATGTAAAAAAAAAACACCAACCATGCATTCTCATTACTTTAATGTCAAAATATAGTGATTGATATATTGCAACTGTTTAAAAAATACATATGTTAAAAACATTTCTGCTCCTTTAAAAAATGGCCTAACACAGGCTTAATGTTTGTTATGCAATATATTGTGTTATTGTCATGATTCCTATCTTGTGTTCCACTTGTCTTGTGTGTATTTGGTCATTTCCTGTCTTGTACTCAGTCTTGTAGTCCTATGTAGTTTTTCATGTAGATTCGTCTCCCCAGGTGTTTGCCCATGTGTATTAATAGCCCTTGTGTTTCTTCTAGTTTGGTCCTTCTCGTGGTTTTATTTCTTTGTCCTTTAGTTCTTTACTATTTGTTGTATGTGTTATTTCATTAAAAACTCTGCTGATAGATCTTCGCCTTCGCCTACTTATCTTCAGCAACGTTACAGAACAATAGAAGCAACCACACATGTACAACAAGTGAAACACAAGGGCTATAAATACACACAGGCAAACAGGGAAACAAGACACACCTGGGGAGACGAATCAACATGAAAAACTACATAGGACTACAAGACTGAGCACAAGACAGAAATCAACACTTATTTTAAGTAAATAATCTAAAATAAAACTTTGTGTTTACATAATACATGTGGGTGCACTGTGTATAATAATTTTATAAATATAAACACACATACACACATGCTTGCATATATTTAAGAAATATTTTCATGTATAGACTGTACATAGATTTATATATAATTTATATTATATATTTTATATATAAGTGTGTGTTTTTTCTTAAATATATACAAGCATGTGTGTGTGTGTGTGTGTGTATATATATATATATATATATATATATATATATATATATATATAAAATAATTATACTCAGTGCACCCACATATATTATGTAAACACAAACTTTTATTTTGGATGCAATTAATCGCGATTAATCATTTGGCAGCCCTAAAATAATAATTTACTTTATGTTGTTATGTTATGAACTAATGTACCGTTTTAGGGTGAAATATATGAAAGCATGTTTCTGCCACAGATTAAAACAATTAAAATATGTATTTTGCCATTTTGACTTGAAATTCACAATTATGTTTTTTTTTTCTCCAGAATTGTGAGATGCAAACGTGTTACTTAAAAAGAAAAATAAAGTCTGAATTGTGAGTCATAATTCGCTTTTTACCTAATCCTAAGCTTCCATAGAAATCTAATTTGATAATAACTTAATATTTAGTCAGTGTGTGTGTGTGTGTGTGTGTGTGTGTGTGTGTGTGTGTGTGTGTGTGTGTGTGTGTTGCATGCAGTGTTTCTGTAGACACTCAGTTCCACATTCAGAGACACACATTGAGGCTCTCAGCAGGATTTAAAGGGAAGACGTGCCGTCATATCAACACTCTCATTCTGTCTGTGTGTGTGTGTGTGTGTGTGTGTGTGTGTGTGTGTGGGTGTGTGTGTGTGGGTGTGTGTGGGTGTGGGTGTGAGAGCTTGCAGAGCTGCACTACCTTCCAAACCAATCCATATCGTGTGTGTGTGTGTGTGTGTGTGTGTGTGTGTGTGTGTGTGTGTGTGTGTGTGTGTGTGTGTGTGTCAGACTCAGCCTATTCCTGAATGCACAAATTGTTTCCTGTCTGCAACGTGACCCACAAGAGCACACACACATACAAATACACATTTATCTTGCTATTTAAATGAGGACCTATCATAGAGTCCCATTGTTGTAGATACAGCTACACACACACACACGCGCGCGCGCACAACACACACATATTAATTGTTTTCTATAAATAGATGCATTCTTCTTAGTGTTGAGTCTGAATCTATGCACATTCTGTTTCAAACTTGCACAATTCCACTGTAACATCCCGCGTGAGAAAGATTAGCATACTTTGAAAAAAGAGTGCATATTACAGAATTTTTTTTTTTTTTTTTGTGCAAACTGAATATAATGTTTTTTGGACACTTTACTTTATTTTAATTGCAATTAAATTAAAATGTGTTATAATTTAAATTGATATTAAATGCAATTAGTTAAACTTTAGAGTGTTTTATGGAAGCTCATTTCCGCCACAGGAAAAAAAAAAAAAAAATATATATATATATATATATATATATATATATATATATATATATATATATATATATATATATATATATATTAATTTTATATATTTATTTAATATTTTTTATATTTATTAAATACATTATATATATATATATATATATATATATATGAGATGAAAAGTCATAATTGTGAAATCTAAACTCACAATTGTGAGAAATAAAAGTCTAAAAGTCATCATTACCTTTTTATTTATTTTTTTTATTCTGTGGCGGAAACAAGCTTCCATGTTTTGACCCACTTAAGTAGGATTTAAGAACATGTAATTTTATAAATAATTCTACACACTTTATCATATATTTAAACATTTCAAATTACATACTTGTAGTGATGAAGTTGCAATTTAGTTGTATGAGTATATAGTGAATATATTACATTATCTGCCAGTGCAATTTTTTTTTTTTTTTTTTTTTTTTTTTAACTAGCCCTAGTGAAGTGCACTTTAAATGCACATTAAATAGATCTGACACAGACGGAGCGCGCGGACGGAGCGGTCGTGAGCCGCAGCACATGTAGATGAGCCGGAGTGTGTCGGGTCAGTCTAAGAGAAGCACAAGTGCTGCGTCTGCTGCTTCTTTCTGTCGTCCTGACTCAGCAGCTATTGTCAATTCTGTTTAATTTTGTCATGCTTGACTTCTTGCATCCTGAAGCCCTGTGTGCCAGAAGCTCTTCAGACGCCTGTCAACTCCAGCCAGAAAAGCTCAGCGGACAGATGGATAATGGAGGATGTTTCTTCTGGACTAATCTTTGGGGTTTGGACTGATGGCTCGCTGAACCCGAGGTCACCCCGATCTCACGAGAGTGCGTGCACTAATTTCATTTCTCGTGCCATTTAAATGGCAAAATTGCGTGTAAAAATTAATATACTTTATCTAATCAATAAAATTGTGGCAACAGATTAAAAGCAATATTATTAATTGAATTAAACAAATTAGAATTGAGTAATAATTATTCAAATTAATTCCTTGAAAGTTAACCATTTAAAATGAGTAAAACTTACACCAAAAAATTAAACAAAAATATCCGCATAACAGACAGACGTCAAAGATTAATTAATTATTATTTAATTAATTATTTATATTATATTGCCAACATTGAAGACACCTGATGTTAACAAGCAGAATCACGGAAAGAGAAAACAAAACACCGATCACCATAATGGCGACCTCAATGTGAGTTTTTTTTTGTAAGTTTTACTCATTTTAAATGGTTTAATTTCAATGAATTAATTTGAATAATTATTACTTAATTTTAATTTGTTAAATTGAATTCATAAAATTGCTTGTAACCTGTTGCCACAATTTTTTTTGATTAGATAAAGAGTAATAATTTTGACAGTGAAAGCACTTTATGGCAAGTAATACGCATGCACTCCATAATTGTACATTTACAGTGTGTAGCGTACAGTATGCACACACACACACACACACACACAAATAATAATAATAATAATAAAAAAAATAATTAAAATTTGTGGTTAGGTGAAAATCGTGAAACTAATATATTATATATAATAAACTAATATACTATTATATAGACTCATTACATGCAAAGTAAGATATTTTAAGCCTTTATTTGTTATATACTGTATATTTTACAGAATTGAAAGTCTTTTCACAATATTCTAATTTTGACTTTGGGGTTTTCATAATAATCATCACAATAATAACAAATAAAGGCTCGACATATCTCACTTTGCATGTAATGAGTCTATATAAAACTGGGAGACCGGTGTTTAGCCAGATGAGAAGTTGGTCTATGTATCATCTTTTTACTCTTTTAATTAATTGTATAACTGCATCATATATGTCTTTTAATTCATTTTAATTTTTATGTTGTGATTATTTTAATTCCCTTTTTAAAGCACTTTGAATTTCCATATTAAAATTGCTTTATACACCGCAAAAAAAAATGCTTTTCTTACTCAGTATTTGTTGTTAACGGTCAAATTATCAAGATGCATTTTCGAGATGAGTAAAATGCTATAAGATATTATGCTTTGTTTTATTGGGGGGCGAATCACTATTTTTCAATTTTTTTAATGACGAATCATTGTTTTTCTCCCCATTTGCAGCTCAAGCTCGCTTCATTTTTATTTTTCCCCCCAGAAAACAAGACATAAAACCTTATAGCATTTTACTCATCTAGTACATGCATCTTGATTGATGATTTTTGAGATATTTGGACTGGAAACCAGACAACAACGCCTTATTCTCACCTTGATGGAGTTGCTGGAGATCTGGATCTCGTGGAGTTTGCGCATGGTGCCGTCGCGGTCGATGAAGTACGAGGAGGCGAGCTGGTGGAGTGCCTCGACTCCTTGGGTGGCGTTGACCATCTTCCGGTCCAGCTTGTTCTTGGCCATGTACATGGTGAGAGCTTCCTCACCTAATGGCACAGAGCAATATGGTCAGTTAACGCAAGACTTCACTTCCCCTCGTCCACATGCCAGAGTTCAGATATCACACTCACAGAACAACGATCCTGTCAGCATTTACTCGCTCGCATCCCATGACTCACTGTCTTCTCATTCAATTCAAATTTGACATCAAGACACTCATTGGTGGCATCAAACCTGCTCCGCAAATAATGGCTGACATGCAAAACCATTTTAAACGATAATTGCTGCTTTTATCTCAGATTTGAATGTTTAAATCTCCCAATTCGTACTTTATAACACACAATTGGGAGACATAAAGTCAGATTTCTGATATGCATTGACCCTGTAAATAAATAAAATTTGACGAAAAATTTGACAATTGGGTGTTATAAAGTCAGAATTGTGAGATATAGTTGCAATTGCGTGTTATAAAGTGAGATTTGTGACATTTAACATGCAAAAGCATTGTTCTGTCACAGAATAAAACATTTTAAAAGATAATTGCAGCTGTTATCTCAGATTTGAATGTTTAAATCTCCCAATTCGTACTTTATAACACACAATTGGGAGACATAAAGTCAGATTTCTGTGATATGAAGTTGCACTTGCGTGTTATAAAGTGAGATTTGTGAGATGCAAAAGCTTTGTTTTGTTTTGTTTTTTTCATGCAATGGCCAATTTTGCTTCTATTACATGTCTTAAGCTTGTTTCTGTCACAGAATAAAACATTTTAAAAGATAATTGCGGCTTTTATCTCAGATTTGAATGTTTAAATCTCCCAATTTGTACTTTATAACACAATTGGGAGACATAAAGTCAGATTTGTGTGATATGAAGTTGTGAGATATAACATGCAAAAGCATTGTTTGTTTGTTTTTGTTTGTTTTTTTGTTTTTTTTCATGCAGTGGCCAGTTTTGCTTCCATTATATGTCACGCTTGTTTCTGTCACAGAATAAAACATTTTAAAAGATAATTGCGGCTTTTGTCTCAGAATTGTATGTTTATATCTTATCTGGCAATTCTGACTTCATAACGCAATTGGGAGACATAAAGTGAGATTTGTGTGATATAAAGTCACAATTGCGTGTTAAAGTCAGATTTCTGTGATATGAAGTCGCAATTGCGTGTTATAAAGTGAGATTTGAGTGATATAAAGTCACAATTGCGTGTTATAAAGTCAGAATTGTGAGATATAGTTGCAATTGTGTGTTAAAGTCAGATTTCTGTGATATGAAGTCGCAATTGCGTGTTATAAAGTGAGATTTGAGTGATATAAAGTCACAATTGCGTGTTATAAAATCAGAATTGTGAGATATAGTTGCAATTGCGTGTTAAAGTCAGATTTCTGTGATATGAAGTCGCAATTGCGTGTTATAAAGTGAGATTTGTGAGATGCAAAAGCATTGTTTTTTTTTTGTTTTTTTCATGCAATGGCCAATTTTGCTTCCATTACATGTCTTCTGAAAGCTTTTTTCTGTCACAGAATAAAACATTTTAAAAGATAATTGCGGCTTTTATCTCCAAATTGCATGTTTACATCTGGCAATTTTGACTTTATAACACAATTGGGAGACATAAAGTCACAATTGCGTGTTATAAAGTCAGAATTGCGAGATATAGTTGCAATCCAAAGACGGTTTCTGTCATTTTAGTTAATTCTCGTCATCACGCAGAACGAGTTACGAGGAAACACGTGGATATCTAACACTTACACACTTACACAACTGATATCCTGAAATCGATCTGGAATAATATTCCTTTGGAGGACAGCGATACTGCAACTCTACATTTCAAGAGTTGTTGAAGTCGTGGCATTGAGCTTGCCAGCTTTCATACGGGATCATTTTGAGCGCTGTGGTTCACGCAGCCAACATGTCATTTTCTCAACATGTTTCTTCAGCGTGGACTTCCTAGTGTGTGAGAACTGGCATGATGGAGACACAGTGTGCATCAGTGACTCACTTCACACACTGTCACAGAGAGAATTTTGCTTACAGTGTCAAACTGACACGACCCGTGTCTCTCTCTCTCTCTCTCGGGCTCACTGCTCGATGGCAAAGATTTCTTCTCCGCCGGAGTCGAGTGGGAGAAGCCGCTGCGATTGATTTTTCAAAGCGCCTCTGACCTTTTCCTAAATAACTCATTGACTAGGACACCAGAGCAAAATGTGCTCGGAGAGTCAGCGGCACAGAAACACCAGCTCTGTGTTTACACGGACACACACCGCCAGCAAAAACACTCTTTCTCTATGCAAGCTTCTCCTCTCTCTCTCTCTCGCTCCATCTCTATATCTATGCATTAGCTCTCTCTCTCTCTAATTCTATCTTTAGAAAGCACTCAAAAGCTCCACCGTATCTCTGTTACAATCCGTAGTGTCCACTTGTGTGTTCCCTTGACAGACAGCAGTCAGTGTGAAGGTAACATCACTACACAGTATTTATGTCTTGTTTTCCAGCACAAATATTTAATCATTCTTAAATCAAGATATATTTACTGGAGAAGCAACACGACATTAGGTTTAGTTTTTTGAAGAAAAAAAAAAAAAAAAAAAAAAAAAAAAAAAATATATATATATATGTATTATACATTATATATATATATGTGTATATATAACATATATATATATATATATAACATATATATATATATATATATATATATATATATATATATATATATATATGTTATATAAAACATATATATATATATATATATATATATATATATATATATATATAGCAACCACGTATTGATCATAATTAGAGATGCTGAGGTTTTATGTTTCGCAACATGCCACATATGATCAGCAGGATTTCTAACATAGCCGTATATAACGTTATGTCGGCAACACACACCTGATCTCCCTGCAGGCGTGTTAATGTATTTGCACATCCATGACTGTCGATTAACCTGTTAACATCAACCTTTCGATTCCCGTGACCTTTATTTTCAGCTGTGTCTATATTGTTCAATCTCGACGGCACGCGGCAATCCTGACGCTAATGCGCGTGACCTTTAAAGCAGCATTAATAAATCAGATTTCCTGCTAATCAACCCATTAATCAATGTATGGACGTTCACACCAAACAAAAAAGCAGTGAGCCTGTGTTTGACCTTGAGCTACGGGATAATTACGAGCTCCCGTCTGTCCACAATAAAGCGGCGGTGAGATCTGGACACGAGCCTCGATAGCGTACAGTGTGTATAATGTGCAGGGCTCAGGTATTAGCCGCGCGTTCCTCAAGTTCAGTCAGCGCTTTGTGATTTACTGTGGTCCTCTGGACTGGAACAGGCATATTGCTTATATTGATTTTCCATTGGGTTTTATGGTCATATCGTGTAGGTGACAGAGGGTAAGGGTGTTCATGGATTCCCTTGAATGCTGCGTGTGAAATGTAATGAAATTCCAGTCGCTATTTCATTATTTTTTTGCTTTGCAATAAACTTTACACGGATTTAATGACCAATAAATGCTGTAATGACCAACAGTGCAAACGCTGGCCAGGCTCAACAGATTTGTAGGTCCAAAAGAAAGTCCGTCAACATAAACAAACAAGCAAACAAAAATAAATGTATCTTATTTATATTTTAGCTATTTTCTTTTTTTGCACTGGCATATAAGCATCTGAAAAAAATGCAAAATGTAAAAAAAAGTATGTCCCTTGGTTATGTTTGTTTGATATAAAATAAATACAAACATAGATAGATGCATACATAATTTATATTTTAGTGCAGCAGATTAGTAAAAAAAATGGTTCACTTTGGTATAGAAGCATGAAATTTGGCACAGATACACTATAAGAGCCACTATTTTGGAAAAACCCATTGGCCACTCAAAAATTCAATGTGGCAGCCAATTTTTAAGATGGCCGCTATTGCCAAGCATCCATCTAATAGTGTCATATCAACCACCCAGAATACCATAGCAACCACCAAAACACACTGGCAACCACTCAGAATACCCAAGCAAATGCCTAGCAATGACATAGCAACCAAATAATACTCTAGCAACCACATAGCAACGCCCTAGCAACCACCTAGCAACCACCTGAACACATGAATAAGCCATATCTCAGCACCAGAACATCATACAGACATGTTTGTTGGCTCGCATGCAATCATGTACCACACCCTAGCAACCGAGTGACGAAATAGCGTCCATCTTGAAAAAAATTGCCGCCATGTTGAATTTTTTGGAGGCCAACGCCTTTTTCCTAAAAAAAATGACCCTTGGAAAGTCTCTGTGCCAAATGTAATGCTTCTATACCAATTTGAACGATTCTCTTGAAATATGCCATTAATCTGCTGCACTATTTCTGATATTTTTATTTTTGGTAGTATCTACAAAAATCTGAAAGAATCTAAAGAAATGCATAAATTTAAAAATAATGAAAAGTATCACTTGGTTATGCATGTATGCATGCATTCAAACATGTAAATAAATAAAATAAAAATACAATATAATATAACCTATTGTTTTTTTTTATGTTATTTGCCAGCTATTTGGTACCAACCTAAAAAAAAAAAAAAAAAAAAAAAAAAAACGTGAGAAATGTTACAGTCGGATAGTCACCATGATTAAAATAGTATACACATATAACAATCTAATGTAACACTCTCATATAGTTCCTCGAAATAAATAAAAACATCACAATGAACACTATATTTCAGTTAGTAAACATGGTGACGTTTGTTTGTGGGCGGAGCTTAGGCGGAGGCAGAACTTCCACTTACGTTAGTTTGCACGTTTTATTAGCTTGTTATTTTACAATGACTGGAGAAAGGGGTCTACACTATATTTAAACAAACTACCCTGTTTGTTTGTTTGTTTGTTTGTTTGTTTGACTGATAGATACCAAAAAAAGTGATTTTTAGCTTAGTAAAAAAGTGTTTTATAGCTTAGTTCATATCTCTCTAAGACTGGGTCTGGTGGGTCTCTATAGGTTTGTTTGGCAGTGAGTATAAATGACAAAAACACACAAAAAAATATATTAATACTACTTTATAAAGTGAAAACAGAACATAAACAAAACGTTGAATCTAATTCAAAATTATTATAATAGCATAACAATGATACTAAAATAAAACTTGACTATATGAGATGTGAAGAAAAAAAGCAAAGCTGCACTGCATTTTGGTTTCATTCTGTTCTTCCAATCCAGCATCATATTCCTTCTTCCTATCATATTTCTCTATGCCATAATTAGAGCATCAAGTTTAACCACTAAGCCCGAACTGCTCTAATATTCCAACCTCTGAATACAAACGACAGCGGATCACAGCAATTACACTCGACAGCTGCGGATCCATATGAAACTGACCCCTTAAAGGACAAAAAGGGTATCGGCTCAATTCAGCTGCGCACAAACATGCGGAATCTGATTATGAATTGGCTTTATTATTATGTATATTCCATTACCGGGTGACGCGCGTTTACTTCAGCGTGATTAGGACTCTTAACTTTTAAAATCACCATAAAATGGACAGTTCTTATTTTCCCTTCCTCTCACTGCATCTCTTCTATGATGATGTGGGCGGGGCTATAACCTGTCACTCACATGACATCAGCCAATAGCAAACCACAACCATACAATCAATTCCCTACAGGCAAAATCAAGCCCCGCCCACATTTGTTATTTGTTAATGCTTCTTGATGTACTGTAAGAAATTTTATCTATTTGGCCTGGAAACAAGACAAAAATACTAAGAGAAAAAAAAATTGCAGTGTACTTTCCCAAGACATTAGAAAACAATGTTGTGATTGCAATCGGATCGGATTTTCTCAAGATATCTGCTTATGTTATGGTGTGTGTGTGGACTCGTTTGAATCGAGACAACCGGATGTTGTTAGTTAGTGCATAATAATGAAACTCTTTATTGTTCACATCTACCTCAGGTCCATTAAATACTATTAACAGATTCAACTTTTGATTTTAATAAGGCATTAGTAAATGTTGAAATTAATTTTGACTAAGATTAATACATGTTTTGGAAGTATTTTTCATTGTTAGTTCATGTTAAGTGCTGCAACATTACTGTAAAGTGTTACCAAACATGAATTTATTTCTGACTTAACACACAAAACGCAAGCCATAAATGGCCTGTGTTGGCAGAGAGGTGTCATAAAAGTATTACAAGTATCATTGTATGGAAAAGAGCAGGATGAACATTATTCAAAATATCTCTGGGGTTTAAACAACATGAGGCAACAGTAACTAAAGGGGGCGGGTCTTTGCACTAAAGTGTGTGTGTCTTTTCACTAAAGGGGGTGTGTATTTGCATTAAGGTGTGGGTCTTTGCACTAAAGGGGGCGTGTCTTTATACTAAAGGGGTTTTTGTACTAAAGGGGGCATGTCCTTGCACTAAGGGGTGGGTCTTTGCACTAAAGGGGGCGTGTCTTTGCACTAAGGGGTGGGTCTTTGCACTAAAGGGGGCGTGTCTTTGTCCTAAGGGGGTGGGTCTTTGCACTAAAGGGGGTATTTGCACTAAAGGGGTGTGTCATTGCATTAAGGGGTTGGGTCTTTGCACTAAAGTGGGCGTGTCTTTGCCATAAGGGGTGGGTCTTTGCACTAAAGGGGGCGTGTCTTTGTCCTAAGGGGGTGGGTCGTTGCACTAAAGGGGGTGTGTCATTGTATTAAGGGGGTGTGTCTTTGCACTAAAGGGGGCATGTCTTTGTACTAAAGGTGGTCTTTGCACTAAAGGGGGCGTGTCTTTGCACTAAGGGGTGGGTCTTTGCACTAAAGGGGGCGTGTCTTTGTCCTAAGGGGTGGGTCTTTGCACTAAAGGGGTATTTGCACTAAAGGGGGTGTGTCATTGCATTACGGGGTTGGGTCTTTGCACTAAAGTGGGCGTGTCTTTGCCATAAGGGGGTGTATCTTTGCACTAAAGGGGGCGTGTCTTTGTCCTAAGGGGGTGGGTCTTTGCACTAAAGGGGGTATTTGCACTAAAGGGGGTGTGTCATTGCATTAAGGGGTGGGTCTTTGCACTAAAGGGGGCATGTCTTTGCACTAAGGGTGGGTCTTTGCACTAAAGTGGGCGTGTCTTTGCCATAAGGGGGTGGGTCTTTGCACTAAAGGGGGTATTTGCTCTAAAGGGGTGTGTGTCATTGCATTAAGGGGGTGTGTCTTTGAACTAAGGCGGCGTGTCTTTGCACTAAAGGGGTATTTGCACTAAAGGGGGTGTGTCATTGCATTAAGGGGGTGTGTCTTTGCACTAAAGGGGGCGTGTATTTGTACTAAAGGGGGTTTTTGTACTAAAGGGGGCATGTCTTTGCATTAAGGGGTTGGGTCTTTGCACTAAAGGGGGCGTGTCCTTGCACTAAGGGGGTGGGTCCTTGCACTAAGGGGGGTATTTGCACTGAAGGGTGTGGGTCTTTGCACTAAAGGGGGCGTATCTTTGCACTAAGGGGGTGGTTCTTTGCACTAAGGGGGTGGGTCTTTGCACTAAATGGGGCTTGTCTTTGCACTAAGGGGGTGGGTCTTTGCACTAAAGAGGGTATTTACACTAAATGGGCGTGTCTTTGCATTAAGGGGGCGTGTCTTTGCGAATGATCAACTGCAATCGGTTCATGAGATCGGCCACATCTAGTATCATAGAAAGTGATCATCACACATCCCGAATCCCGGTTTGAGCGCTCACCTCCCAGTGTGGCCGAGATCAAGATGTGCGTTCCATACTTCTTGATGATGGTGTCGATGAACTGTTGCGTGGACGGTCGTCGCCCGAGCATCCGCATGCTGCGCTGGAAATCCGGCATCAAGGGCAGAGGATTGCGGATCAGATCCCGCCTCTCGATGGCTGTGTTCCTCACCTTCCAGCGTGCAAATTCCCTACAGAACAGAGCAAAACATCAGGATCTGCATGGGAAAACAACACACTCAGAGCTTCAGTGGGGAAAGCCAGAGCTGATTCACACCGGTGGCAGCTTATATTTTCTTGCATATGCACATACATTTTCAAACATTACAACATCCACAAAGGTTAGATTAAAAAAGCAGTCATAGCATATATTCCTGTATTGCCAGTAAACACACACTTGCATACAGAAATTGCTTTCACTGAAGACGTTACCATAGCAACAGAGGCTGCTCCAGCACTTTTCATTAGGATCATAATCGGATGGAACATTGGCAAAATATGATTAATTTATTGACATCACAAATGTATTTTTTTTTGTTTGTTTGTTTTGTTTTTAAATAATAATTGCAAGCAAAGATGAAATGCATTTAATATTTGCAGATTCATTTTTACATCTAAAACTGGTTGTTTGTCATGTGGTTTAATAATAATAATAATAATAATTTATTATATTTATATCGCATTATATGCATTTATATGCACAATAATGCATTATATTTTCTAAAGGTGTAACTGAATAGATGGATTTTATAATGTATCACAATGTTTCAATTATTCATGAGTTTATGATTATATTCATGATTACATATAAAGGCTTTATTATTATTATTATTTTTAATTGATAAATGCTGTTAGAAATATGTTGCCAATACATTAACTAATGTTAAAAAAATTAAACCTTTTTTTAAACCCTAAAAAGTAAAAGTTTAACTTTTGGCTGAACTATTCCTTTAATTTAATTCAGTTTTGTCACAATGTGCAGCACATAATCTATCCGAGCCACAAAAGGTTTATTGGATTTTGTCTGGCACTTTTTGCAAAACTCAATTTCGAATGCATGGGCAATCGCAAAACCTCTGCAAGAACCAACAATCATGTGGCAATCACTTGTTTCCGGTGTGATAGAGAGAAAAACAAAGCAAAAACATATTTTTATTGAATCCAAATCAATGCTTCCACAAAGTGAAGTAATCAACACAACCGCCAGCGGCTCTGTCGTCCGCATGATTGTCGTGATGAAGCGATGAGCTTCGGTCCTGGTTTGCCATTGGCCAGATTTCGGTCTCACTAATCTCACAATTGGTTCGATTAGCATCTCATTTGGCAGCGGATCACAAGCGTCTAGTTCCTCTAATGAAGTGAAAATTGAAATTCCTTGAGACATGAAAAGCATTCACTGACTAATAATCAGAAGAAACGTTGAAGGCTGAACAGTACTCTAGAGAAGCATCTATTGTCATAAATGCTGAGATGGGAGTTGGACACTGGAAACGTCCATTCAGCACCGCTCTGAAGTCTTGAGTCTCGAGCAGGTTAACACGAGTAAAAGGGCCAGAGAAGCAGATGTCGTCACTGCCGAACTTCTGCCAAATAAACGGACCTTTAGATCACTCACAGATGGATTCAGATCATAATGAGCTTTTTTAGATTGCTAAATGCAGCATAGAAATGAAGGCACTTTATTAATTATAGATTTAAGTAATATCAAATAAACAAGTGCGATTTAGGATTACACGTGGCAGTCGTGCTCATTCTCAGATCAACACACCGGCTGTGAGTTTGAGCTTGTTTTTATACAGCAGCTAAATAAACAAACTGTTAATACGAGTACCTTAACTCACAGACAAAATGTGTTCAAAATTGTAAAACAAGTTCCAAAACAAGCCAAAGCATCAAGCTTTACATGCCAACCAACAGGAAAGTGTTTAAAATCATATATACCATATGTATTTATGGTTTAGAGGTTTAAGTTCATGCAGTTAGACAGATAGACTGGATGGATGGATGGAAAGACGGGCGGATTGATGGGTGGATGGACGGACGGTTGGTTGGATGGATGGATGGAAAATGGGTGGTGGGTGGTGTGGGCGGGTGGACGGATGGATGGATGGATGGATGTACGGAAAGAATGGGTGGGTGGGTGTTCAGATGGACGGACGGATGGATGGAAAGATGGCTGGCTGGCTGGGTGGGTGGATGGATGGATGGATGGATGCATGAGTGGATGGATGAATGGATGGGTGGATGGGTGGATGGGTGGATGGGTGGATGGGTGGATGGATGGATGGGTGGATGGGTGGATGTACGGAAAGATGGGTGGGTGGGTGTTCAGATGGACGGACGGATGGATGGAAAGATGGCTGGCTGGCTGGGTGGGTGGATGGATGGATGGATGGATGGATGGATGGATGCATGAGTGGATGGATGAATGGATGGGTGGATGGGTGGATGGGTGAATGGGTGGATGGTGGATGGATGGATGGGTGGATGGGTAGACGGACAAATGGACGGATTGATGGGTGGACAGACGGTTGGTTGGATGGAAGAAAGGACAGATGGATGGACGGATGGATGGATGGATGGATGGATGGATGGACGGGTGGTTGGGTGCATGGGTGGACAGATGGATGGATGTACGGAAAGATGGGTGGGTGGGTGGTTGGGTTGGGTGGACGGACAGATGGATGGATTGATCGGTGGGTGGACGGACGGATGGATTAATGGATGGAAAGATGGATGGGTGGGTGGGTGGGTGGATGGATGGATGGATGGATGGATGGATGTACGGAAAGATGGGTGGGTGGGTGGACGGACTGATGGACGGATGGATGGATGGATGGATGGATGGAAAGATGGATGGAAATATGGGTGGGTGGGCGGACGGATGGATGGATGGATTTATGGATGGACGAATGGACTGATGGATGGATGGATGGATGGATGGATGGATGGAAAGATGGGTGGGTGGGCGGATGGACGGACGGATGGAAGCCAAGTGTTATAAACAGTGACTCATCTCTGTGCTTCATACTAGATATCAACACGCTTGAAATGCAGAACAGCAATCCACTGCTTATATGTAGTTTGATGTTTTAACGGAGAGACGCTTTCACAGTGTTTTCACACTCGGCTTGATTAGGAATTCACCACAGGCCTCTACTCACACTGGGTCTGAACCACAGTCCGGTTCACCATAAGAACTGTTCACCACTGTCTCAGCTCAACAGGAATACACACATATTCACTGTTATTGGAGTATTTTTCCTCTAAAGCTTTACTTACAGAACGGCACTTCCATCGCAAGAGATGCGAAGACTTCCTGAAGGTGATTTATTCAGAGATAATCTAATAACAGAAGTTATTATTCTATAATAAATGATTGTGCACAAATTCTAAGTCATCAACAGTTCTGGTGTAGATCAATGATATCATTGCTTTCGGGTGCAACTTTTGGGCGTCTTTACGAAGAGCGCTAGTGTGACCAAATGTCAGAAATGACTGAATGATGCAAAATCCTGATCGTTTCTTCAGTTTGCTGCAGAAAAAAGCGCTGGTGCATCGACTCCACGTCAGAATCCCAATAACTCCTTGTTCGAACAACAGCCTGAAACCTGGCGACTTCACTGACCTCACAGGTTGTGTGATAAGAAGGCAGAGAACATGCTTAATAGACTAAACTTCTTCGGATATTGATCTGCCTTTCCAACGGTTCTAAATAAAACAGTCAATTAGCACAGTTACATGGGCTTATCTGCTCGTGTCCTTGCACTTCTCAAACGCAGAAACCCTGGACGTATTAATTGCTATTTCAAGTCCACGGCACGGTTTGGGACAGCCAATTAATGGAGTAAAACAAAAAGTGTTGAAAAATGTGACTGAAAAAATGGGCAGGGCTTTATATTGAAAGGATTTTTCACTTGTATATTTCTCAAATAATTACAAATAAATGACAAGTAATACTGCGAATTTTGTGCATTTTTGTGCAGGCAATGTGCCTTTTTTGGATAAACAAAACATTTCAAATAACACTTTATTTGCTGATGTCTTGAATTGTGAAGATCGGGCACTTCTGGTCTACAGCTGTTCCTCAGCGTTCCTCGTCTGGAAATTTCCAGTGAATTGAGCAGAACTGATTGTGTTCTACAAATGTTGGCTGTTTGGAGGGCTTTGGGGTCGGTACTGTAATAAAAACATCACCAGGCGGCTGGGAGCTCCGGGCAAGCGCGTACAATTAAGTCTACCAGCGTGAAGCCGGCCCTCGCTGAGCCGCCGGTGCCAGAACAATTCTGGAGTGACACCCTCTTACTCAGGCACTTCGCAAACTGAGATCAGCAGGTTCGTCTGGAGAATAAATATACATGGAGACCTCGGCAAAACACGCCGATAATTCAGTTGCAGCCGAGGTTTGCGCTCCTCGATGGAAGTCGAAGCGCTCCGCCTTTGGAAATCATTCTAAGAGCTCGGTAATTACTGCTCTTCAAGGGAACGGGAACAAATATATGCAAATTGCATTGTGTCTGCTTTTGCATCAACAAATCTCAAGGTAAAGTAGTGCAGATAATGAGGCGTATTAAGACTCCACATGAAATCACTCAGGAGGAGGATATAAGGTGTGTCGAAGGCCCACACGTGTTCGGATGCTTGAGTAGATGGGAGGAAAATGAGACGAGAAAGCTGAGGAATGGGAGAGAGAAGAATGAAGATGAGAACAGTACGAGAGACTGGAATACTGATGATTTCTGCACACACACACACACCAGACTAGACTTCTTCAGCTCTCCGTCCATACACATCACTTACTTATAAACACACACCACTCTGAAAACTGATCGAATGAGCAGCATCTGAAGGTTAACCAACACCTGCGTACTGATCTGCCAGTTCTTGGTTCTATTTAGAACCAGAAATGGTTCCATCCCCCGCTTCATATATGGAACTCCAAAATGGTTCTATATGGAACCTTTTTTGTTGTTGTTGGTAAAAGGTTCTATTGGCCAAGTATGGAACCCCAGGGTTCTATATAGAGAGTGTATAGAGTGTATAGAACCTTTTAGGGGTTCCAAATACGTAGGGATGATAGAACCTTTTCTTCTAAGAGTGTTGGTGACAGATGTAGAGTTTGGCCAATGGAGCATTTTATTCTGATTACTAATATTGCTAATATATTGATATCTGCATCATATAACACACT